GGGGGGGGAGCTGAGAGCTCCCTGCTGGCTCAGCTTGAGGACGGCTTCTCTTGAAGACAGCGTCTCTTGAAGACAGCCCAGGATCAGCTGGGTTGGTGGGGAGCTGAGGTCTCCACAGCATTTTGGCTTGGGGCTTGCTTCTCTGGCAGTGCGGTTTAAACCAGGCTGCAGGAGAAGCCAGCCCAGGATCAGCTGTGACTGTGGGGAGCAGACTCCTCCTCGCTGGCACAGCTTCTGGTGTGCAATCTTCTTGGGTCTATTGGACACCCGAAAATTCTGGATTGCCAAAAAATCCCTGATCCAAATACTGCACTGGTACTGGGATCCAGGATTTTTCAGGGAACCCAGTTTTCCCCCCAGTTTGATAGACCCGAACTGGAATTTTTTTAAAAAAAAAATACCTGCACACCCCTAGTGTCCCTCATAAGCAAACACATGAACAATAGGAGCAAGCACACACCTCTGGCACTCTGCAAATTATGTAAAACAGAAATGTTCAGGTGGTCATTTTTATAAAGGCAATAGGGCTATATCACAAGGGAACAGTTCAGGAGACGTTTCAAGGAAGGGAACAGGGTCAAGGTCTGTGGACTTAACTTCTGTTGTATGGTAAGTGGTATCTGTTTGCTGGGTGCATTATCTTGTTCAGTTTGGTGTAGGGGTTAAGAACAACAGGAGGGCTATATCACAAGGGAACAGTTCAGGAGACGTTTCAAGGAAGGGAACAGGGTCAAGGTCTGTGGACTTAACTTCTGTTGTATGGTATGTGTTATCTGTTTGCTGTATGCATTATCTTGTTCAGTTTGGTGGGGTGTCTATTGTGGGGAGAGGAGGGGAAGGAGACTGTAAATTGCTCTGAGACCCTGAATGAAGGGTGGAGTGTAAATCCAACTCTTCTTCTTCGCAGTGCATTGTGTTTCCACTTATGTAATAACATTGACTGCTTCCTTAACACATCATGCTTAATCCTTATGTTAGTTTCATAGTTCTACAGTTCCAGTCCTAGTACACAGTTTATTCAATCTCTCACCCTTACTGCCTTCACCTACACTTCTCACCCTTACTGCCTTCAGCTACATTGTGTAAATCTGCCTTGAGTCTCAGTGAGAAAGACAGACTATAAATTGCAGAAATACATAAATATACAAATGACACTGCCTTCTATTTAACTGGTCCATCTTGTGCTGCAGTGTTTCCTCTGACTGATGGTGTCTCTGCAGGGCCATAGGAAAAGAAAGGTGTTTCCTGCTACCTGAAATCCTTGTAACTGGAGATCCCAAGAATCCAAATACTGGAATCCTAACCTTGGAAGCTCCGCCGTGCAAAACATGCACTATGGTGTCTGGTCATCATTGAATACTGCCAAAGAATAATTTATTCCCTAGAAAAGATCTAAAGTATTTTGATTTTCTGTTTACTGTTTCAGAAAATAAAAACATTTTCTGCGAGGCAGGTGTCAAGAGCAAAACACCCTTGAAAAAGACAGTATGCTCCACATTCAGTCAGCTTCAGAGAACAGACTTGAATCTGAGTCTTCCTAAACCGTAACTGTTCACATTAAAAGCTGCTCTAGCATATAGCACACAGTCCCAAAAGCCAACTGAGAGCATCCTTGTAAGCCTTGGTCTTTTGTGAATGTGCACAGCTGAAGAAAACCAAATACAACACTGCGATTCAGAAGGAACTGAAAAAAACTTCCTGCACTGCATGGGGGGGTTAGACTAGATGACCCTGGAGGTCCCTTCCAATTCTATGATTCTAATTACCGGTTCGTATTCGTCAGCATTTTTTTCAAGTTGGTTGAGAAGCGATGCCAGCCCTCCTTGGGGAGCTGTGAACTCTGAGATGGAAGCAGCGTAGTTTTCGTCCGTTGAGCCGGGTGTGACGGTTCTGCAGTTTGGTATCAGCGGCAAATCCAGCAGGAGAGAAGATGGAGGGCTACTACACGGGACAGCGAAAAGCAAAGTGAGATGGTATCCTGAGGTCCAGCATTTATCAACTGAAGCAGCAGAAGCATGAGATGTATTCTTTGTTATGTTTCAAAGTGGCCCCCAAAGTCAACCTCTGCAGTAGCCCCGTTCAGTCACTATTTGTTACCAACTGGAAGCATGAAAAATTGCCCTGCCCATGTTTGGACCTCTCCAGTGCTCTTTATTATGGAGCAGCCTTCTGGAGATGGTTAGGGAGATGCTTCCCCTCTTGGTTTTCAGAAAGTGCCATAAGAAGTGCCAGAAGACTGAGGGCCCAAACCAGACAGGCAGCTAGGGGTTCTGGATCTCCCAGTCATTTTCCAACTCATTTCTCAGGTGTGTTGGGGGCAATGTTCCCTCTAAGCTGTGGAGTCTTGTGAGCAAAAATTCTACTTTGTGAGCTATTGGCATTAAAAGTTGTGAGAGAGCAATTTGGCTACTGCATAAATTAGTTTGCTCTAGATCCCTCCTTCCTGAGCTAAGACAAAAATGTGTGAGCCGGAGGCTAAAAAACTGTGAGCTAGCTCACACAAACTCAGCTTAGAGGGAACACTGGTTGGGGGTACCACTCCAATAGGGACCAGAGTACGAGGCATGCAGGGGTTAACCCTGCACCCCATGCTGCTGTCCTGAACTGAAACGACCCTAGAGAACTGTTTCAGGTCAGGGAAACAGCATGGAGGGGAAAGCATGAATCCCTCCTTGTGCCCTGCTTGCAATGTGAACTGGGCCTTCACACTCTTGAGAACTCAGGTTTAAAAAAAAAATGCCAAGAGCTCTTAACACAAGCCTTCTGGCAGACATCTGGCTTGAGTCTGAACTATTTAAGCATACTTGAGGATATCTCAGTGATTGCTAGACAGCTTTTATCTATGACTGTTATTGATTGTTTTAATTTTAATACAGTTTTTTTAAATTGTTGTTTTTGACTCTTTTGTAAGCCTGTTGAGTCCGATTTTAGGATGAAGGCAGAACAGATGTATATGAAGCAAATAAATGAAGGTGGCTCGCTGCAATTTAAAATGCTGTTCCTCAGACCAACCTAGACGTCACGTGACCTGACAGATGTAGCCACTTATCTGCCCCATTCACACATAAAAAGTATGTGTGAGTCTAATGTCTACCTCCAAAGTAATAGAGAGCCAAACCCTTTCCCTCCTTACTTCTCCATGCTCTGAGGCTCCACAAACATGCCCACCCTGTTGTATGTAATCTGGGCAAAGTCACACAATATATTTGCTAATTAGATTAACAAGATTAAATGAATCAAAACAATCCGTTAAAAGAGCTAATAAATCCCCCCTGGCAGCCTTCGTGGCGTAAGTAAGCCAACATGAACATTCTAAAAATCTCAAGTCAATCGGTAAAACGGGCTCCTGAAATCAAATGATATTTGCAGCCTTCCAAAAAGAGTTCCTGGGTATATGGGGCTTGCAAGAGGTAGCATTCTGCAAGGATTAGGCTCCATTTTCTCTTCCATGGGACAATAAAACTAAAAAGTATGCCAACACAGGTGACTGACGATACTACCCAAGCACAGGAAACATACCCTTCCTCGAGTTCTAGTTTCCTAGACAACTCGTGAGGGGAGTAATATATTGTGCGAATAGCCTCCTCCTGACTGCAGGGCGTCTGGTAAGAGCTATGTGCTTGAGCTGTGGATTTGCCTGGAGTCTGGTACAGAGCAGAGGTCCACCTGGTGCTTGCGATCTGGGCTGTGCTTGCGGCAGGCTCTTCCCCTCCACTCCCGCTGCTATCGCTGTAGCTGTCTCTCCTAGCAGGGGACTTGATCCGTTTCTTGCCCTGCTCAGTGGCTTCATTTTCATCTGAACTGTCATCCTGTTCTCCATTCAAGGACTGGGAGTTACATTTACTGGTATCTGGGAAAACCTGTGGTGGGGAATGGATTGGTGTCTGTAACAAAGGGGACAACAGACAGAGAAACAAATTATATCAATGGTGACTTTAGCATGCAAAGTATTTATGTCTATCTATTCCGATTTTGGGGATGTGGAATGGTATAGTATTGCCTGATTGTGTCAGATCTTGCAAGTTAAGCAGGGTTGGTACATGGATGGGGGACCACCAAGGAAGACTCTGCAGAAGAAGGCAATGGCAAATCACCCCTGCGTCTCACTTGCCATAAACACCCCTTGCTGGGGTCACCGTAAACCAATTGCAACTTGTCAACACATGCATATTAACATTCTGCTTTTATTCCACTGTTCCTCTAAGGGGCTCAGAGCAATTAAAATAGTTCTCCTTTCCCTAATTTTATCTTCAAAACAACACTATGATGCAGATTAGGCTGAGGTCTGGCCTCACCGTGTATGTTTCGTGGCTTATTGAGGCGATGAACCTGGGTTCCCCCAGTCTTAGACCAATACTTTACCCACTATACCAACATGCTCTGCTTTTGAGCCTAACTAAAGCAGTTAACGTGTACTGAACGTTCACTGCTATATACAACTCACAGCCAGCTCGTGCTATGAAGTACGCAAAGGTTTCCGCAGTCATTTACATAGGAAACAGAAGGTATCTGCTCTCAAGAGATTCCAGATCTGTACAGGAATGCTTGAACACTTATTAGTTCAGCTCACGTCCTGTTCACCAGTAACAGGGAGCTGTTCCAATTTTCTAATGATTGTTTGACTGTCACCCCGTTTGTGGCTGTTCAGCAAGTTGCTTCAATGTATTCCTTCCTAACCATGCATTATGGCACAATTGGCTTTTTGTGCATATGAGTTCCTACAGACCCTGACCGGGTTCTATTATACTCCCATCTTTGCTGTGTAACTGCTCCACTCAGCAGGCAACTGTTTAAACAAAGCACTGGATCAGTCACAAATCATATAAACCAGTCATCAGTAAATGCTGTGCTTTAATAAAATCCTACCCTTTGGTGTTTGTCTGAGGAGGCCCAGAGATGCTAACGTCTGCCAACTAGACTAAGTTGGCAGCATCTTTGGACATGTGTGGTTTTGCAAAGACCTGATGCAAACCAGTTCAGTAGGCAAATGCAGCTTGCAGCTGCATAGCACAGACCAAGCAGGCTGGCATGATTGGCTTATATCTGAATGACACCTTTGAACATGGTAAATTCAACTGCTGAACACATTCAGGATGAAATCTGTAACATCCCTAGACCTGTGTAGTTGATTAATCATCCGTCTTTTAACTGACTGCCATTCAATACATGCTTGTATTACCAATATCTCAGTACAGATCTCTTTTTTGAAGATAATGAAAAAGCATAGTTTTCTATTTTAATAATTTCCCCCCATCTCATCTGTTTGAGAATCTGGAACACACCGCTGACCACAGCAACATGCCGGAAGCAAAATGGCTTTAAAAAAAAAATAAGAAAGTTCAAATCCCCGCAATATTTCAGAAGCTCGTGATTTAAAAGGCACACAGGTGCTGATTTCATCGGAGCATTGCTAGATTCAGTTGCCTGCGTTTCTTATTGCTAAGGAAGACCACAGGAAATGAAAACTATTTGCTGGGCTTGAATCCAGATTGAAAGGGAAAAAATAATCCTTAATTTAAAGACTTTAAAATCTCAAAGAAGAGATATCCTATAAGAAAACCCTACACTTCAACAGTTTGGAAACAAAAATGTTGTTCCCCAAGCCTTCGTAAACACGCACCATTTCATTAAAAAGCCTTACCAATAAAGAAGGGTCAATTTCTGGCAGGATTCCAGGGAGAGGCCTGCAGAGGAGAAGGGTCACTTCGGGGGATGTTCCCCTGAGAGCCGAGATGACTTCCTGCAGGGACGGGAGATTTAAAATAAAACACAGACATTATTTGCATGAATTCAAATAAACAAAGCCAGACTTGCAGGGGTGATTTAATAAGAGGTTCTACACAAGGCTACTAAGACCCAGCCTTCCCCCCCCCCCCCCCCCCCCCCCCCCCCCCCCCCCCCCTCCCTCCCCCCCCCCCCCCACGCCCTCACCTAGGAGCCAGAGTCTCTAATTTTTTTTAATTACATAATTTATGTTTATACAGCAAAATAAAAGATAGCATAAAATATAAGCTATTTATATGCATTACTGAGTTATCCAGTTATGAAGAAGAGATTGGATTTATACCCTGTCTTTCACTTGGAGTCTCAGAGCGGCTTACAAACTCCTTTCCCTTCCCCTCCCCACAACAGACACCCTGTGAGGTGGGTGGGGCTGAGAGAACTCTGACACAAACTGCTCTTTTTCAAGGACAGCTGTGCCAGAGCTTGTGACTCACCCAAGGTCACATCAGCAGGTGCAAGTGGAGGAGTGGGGAATCAAACCCGGTTCTCCCAGATTAGAGTCCGCACACTTAACCACTACACCAAACTGGGACCCATAACAATTCTAGTTGAAGAAAACACCTTCCTCTTTGTGGATAAGTCAGCTTTAAATTAACATTCATGTCCTTAATTTTCTCTGTCTATTCTTGGATCTTTGAAGCATTGTTCTGATTCTAACATTGGGTTAGAACAATCCTGGCTGCAGAAATCAAATATAAAAGAACTACCTGCAATCTCTTAGGGCACCTTGTAACATAATTTAACAGGAAAACTTTAGGGGCATCATCATTTCATATCCAAATTCCAAGCTTTCATGAACATTTTCCCCAAATTTGCCTGAACAAGGATATTGCTACCACATGTGTAAAAAACCCCACCATCTGCAATTTACAGTACCAATGCTGCCCGGACTATGTAATGTTTCATTCGTTCTGTTCCTCCAAGCGTGTCTAAATACAGTCGTGCAAGCTGTGTGTGCCCAACAGGGCCTTCCAATTTCACAAGAGCTCCAGAAGCTCTATTATCCTAGAATAATAGAAATCATAGAATGTTAGAGTTGGAAGGGACCTTGCAGGTCATCTAGTCCAACCCCCTGCACTCTGCAGGAGCTTAGCCGAAAGATAGCCCTATTAAACACGTGCAATGTACCCACCCTACTGTATTATTTATGTATGCTTGGAGCCAGTGTGGTGTAGTGGTTAAGAGTGGCGGACTCTCATCTGGAGAGCAGCCTCCTCCATGTGAAGCCTGCTGGGTGACCTTGGGCCAATCACAGTCCTCTCAGAGGACTCTCAGGCCCACCTACCTGACAAGGTGCCTGTTATGGGAAGAGGAAGGGGAGGAGATTGTAAGCCACTTTGAGACTCGTTAAGATACAGAAAAGCGGGGTATAAAAACCAACTCTTCTTCTTCTTAGATGGATGGAACATCAACTGCTTTAGCTCCTAGGTGGGGTGGGTGGGTGGAAGTGACGGCGGTGGCTGTTGCCCCCTTCTTCCAAATCATCACCTGAGGCCACCGCCTCACCACACTTCACAGCGGAGTTGGCCATGCAGAGGCTCACTAACCTGTTGGGACAGTCCTTTCAATGAAGCACCATTCACTTTCAGGATGACGTCCCCGACTTCAATCTGCCCGCTTTCTGCTGCGGGTTGCCCGGGGAAGAGTTTTTTGACCCTGACTATGCTGGAGCCTGGCTGTTCTGGAGAAACACTGTCTTCACGGCAAAAACTGAAGCCCAGGCCGGAACTATTTTTCATTAGCTTCACCTCAAAGGTGTTGTCTACAAAAACAAAACCCCCAAAATTGGAGAATTATCAACCAAGGTATTACATATCTAAAGGTAAGGAATCAAAATGGTTAATAATTCATTAATTCCACAACAGGTCAAGAATTTCTGATTACTGCTGAAGACTCAAAATAGGATATTCAGGAGGTGGTCTGCCTGAGAATAGCAGCCAGCATTCCAGAAAAGAAACCTTAGGCAGGGGGATGTGGAAGTTGCCCTATCATGACAAATAATGTGTTCGGCCCCGCGGCTCAGTTCTGTTAACAATGTTACTATATTGGACTGATACGGTGTGTACAGTACATGAATATAATCACTGCACAATAAAGCACAATAATTCCAAATATGAATCTTCTGATACACAATGAAATATTCCAAAAAGTTCTCTTTCCATAGGATCCAACCCAAAATATTCAAAAGTTCAGCCAGCTTCAGATAATACTCAAGGTTTTCAGTGTTCAAACCATGTCACATATTTGGGGTTGGAGCCTAACCACCTTTTCCACTGGTTAAAAAAAAAAAAAAAAGTAGGGAGCGGTGGCGCAGGCAGTAAATGCAGCCTGCATTAACATCTGGCCGAACAGCTTCGGCTGTTCGAGCCCCACCGCGGCCGGAGTGAGCTCCCGGCCTACGTCCATCTGCCCCCTTACAGCAGACTAGTAAGGAAGGCCAGTATTATCATCCCCATATTGCAGATTTGGGGGGAGCCATGAAGGTGAGACAGAGTGAGTTGCCTAAGGCTACCTAATAGATCTGTGGAAGAGGCAAAATTTGAACTGGGGACTTCCTGGATCATAGCTCACCACCATACCAGCTCCAAATTAGAATATGGAAGAAAAGTTTTACAGCCATCTAAAAATGGAACACACCACATGTGCTAACCATCACTGAATCGGAGAAGGATGTGTGTATCTTTTGGCTTTATATACACACACCATACACATGCACAAAAGCCTAATTTACATGGTTGCATTTCCTTTATCCTGCACTGACACAAAGGAAATGTGTAAAAATTAAGTAAAACATATACGCTTAAACATGCAAGCAGGGGAGGATTGGCCATTATAGCCACCGGGACTCCTCCTGGTGGCCGATGACCGCCAGCCCAGTGGTGGAAAGGGCCTGAGTGGGAGTGGTGAAGCCCAGTCCACCCAAGGCCTGCACGGCCCAGCAGAGGCAGCACAATGGCTGTGCAGCCTGGGGGAAGTGGCACTTGGCCCGCCTGGCCTGAGGGAGGCAGTCCACAGCCCAGTAGGGCTGCCAGGTCTTTACCCGTGTTCTGGTGGGAGGGTTCTCTCCTTCTTCTGGTACTCTATGGTAACCACAGCGTTTTTCCTCAAATGCTAGAGCGTCCCCCCTCGCAATGTGCCCTGCACAATGACATTACCTCCAGGTGACGTCACTGCACCAGGCACGTCGGCGTGGATGGGGTTGCTCAGGGGCAGGGCTCCCCCCACTGGCCAGCAGCAAATTGAGGGTCACAAAGGCGGGGAAACCCAGCCCCCATTGGCTGGATGGCAACCCTACAGCCCAGGAAAGTGTTCCTGGCCCACCTGAGGCCCAGAGGCACACCCAGTACACCTGAGGCCTGCACAGGGCTTAGAAAGAGGTGGTTTGCTAGGCAGGCAGGCCGCCTCTTCCTCTTGCCCTCCTGGGTGGGGTGGGGGGTAGAGCCAGAGCTGGCTCCTCTCCCAGTCCACCTCTATGTACGGGTAAAAAAGTTCTTTTCATTTTCACAAAAAAGAGGCTGGTTCCACAATTACTTCAAAATTGGGACCTTAAAAATGGCTGATTTAGGGAGCAGGGAGAAAGGTGAACAAGAAGTGATGAAAAAAAACAGAACAAAGTTGGGCAAGAGAACCAGGTATTAAGAAATGCAGAGAAGGACAGCCAGTATGGCACGGTGGTTAGAGTGCTGGCCTAGGACTGCAACGTGACATTATGCCAGCAGGCCCATAGCGACAGTGGGGCATCTTGGGGCTAGGCCCCCTGACCTCCCATCTAGCCCAGGGCGTCACGGCCTTCTCCCCCGGATTAAATTGGTTAGCCAGTGCCCCCTAAGAAATTTAAATGCCCCCTGACTTAAAAAAAACCCTGGCTACAGACCTGTATGCCAGCCACTCTCTCTTAGCCTAACCCACCTCACGGGGTTGTTGTAAGGATTAATACAGAGGAAGAAACAACAATGTCTGCTACCCTGACTTTCTTAGAGGAAGGGCGGGATAGAAATGTGGCAGACAGGCAGAGGGTTTCTATTCTGTTCAAGAGGTTTGATGTAGAACTTTACCAACCTAAAGCGCTTGGCATTCTAGACATAAAAGATGAGCATTCTTTGACATCCTTGGAGGTTCAAGCTCATCTGGCAATTCAACCGGGAACTTACCATCAGTGACAAAGTTATAGTCTCTGGCACCTAAAATCTTCTTTATAGGTCTCTCCGGAGTGACACCTTGACTGGACTGGACTGGAGGTGTGCCCTGTGAAGTCACCGGAGCATGGGCTTTGGCAGCTGGAAGCTGCCCTTTTTCCAATACAAGGTGGACCTCCTGAAGAAACAAACATACATTAGTCAGAACTAGAATTCTGGGGAGAGTACAACCACCTTGCTGCAAAAATAAAAGGGTTGCTGCTCGGTGGCAGAGCATTTTTTTGGCATACAGGAAGTCCCAGGTTCAGGCCCTGGAATGGCATCTCAAAGTAAAAAGATTAGTTAGTAGGTGATTTCATTTGAAATGTGGTGTTGGAGGAGAGTTTTATGCACACCATGGACTGCCAAAAATGACAAATCAGTGGGTTTTAGATCAAGCCTGAGCTCTTCCCAGGAAGGGTTCCCCCCGGGGCCCAATTCCGCCGCGGCGGAAATTGGGCCTCTGAAGCGGGGGATTCCCCGCCCCCCGGGCCCATTTGGCAACCCTAGGCATACAGAAAGTCCCAGGTTCAGGCCCTGAAATGGCATCTCCAAGTAAAAAGATTAGCTAGTAGGTGATTTCATTTGTAATGCGGTGTTGGAGGAGAGTTTTATGCACACCATGGACTGCCAAAAATGACAAATCAGTGGGTTTTAGATCAAGCCTGAGCTCTTCTCAGGACAGGGCCCCAACCTTTTTGAGCCTGAAGAAGAGTTGGATTTATACCCCGCCCTTCACTCAGAGTCTCAGAGCAGCTTTCAATCTCCTCCCCTTCCTCCCCCCACAACAGACACCCTGTGAGGTAGGTGGGGCTGAGAGAGCTCTTTTGAGAACTGTTCTTCAGAAAACAGCTCCGGGAGAACTGTGACTGACCCAAGGTCACCCAGCTGGCTGCATGTGGAGAAGTGGGGAATCAGACCCGGTTCTCCAGATTAGAGTCCCCCACTCTTAACCACTACACCATACTGGCTCTCAGGGGACATTTCGATTCTGACATGGCATGATGGATGCAGCCACAAAATGTCTGCCACAAAATGTCTGCTGAAGGTGGCAGAGCCAGCCACAAAATGATTGCCACAGCTTAGCATCATTTACAGAGAGTAGATCCTCTCCCTCCCTGCCTCCCTTCAGGGAGAAGCCTCAACCAGTGGAAGGAAAGAAAGGCTTCCCTTTGTCCTCTGTATATGATTGAGGCAGCCTGGCCAGGAATTGAGCTCTGGCTGGTTTCTTCCCTCCCCCCGGGAGGAGGAGGAGGAGGAGGGAGAGGAGCCTCAGCCAGTGCTTTACCAGAGTCTCTCAATCGCACAGGAGAGGCTTGCCTATCTATCTCTCCTGTGCAATTGAGAGACTCTGGTAAAATAAGCTGTGATGTAGCATCAGAACTGGAAAAGGAAGCAGGAAACAGCCAGGGCCTTGCAGGCTGGATTGCAGCCCTCCGAGGGCTCTGGCTCCTGCCCCTGGGCTGCATGTTTGACACTCCTATCCTATTAACAGCTGCTCAAAAGGAGTGTGTAGGAATGGCTTGTCACACAATTTTGGAGGAAGTAGTGTCACACACTCCCCTGTCCTCATCCCTAGCAACAGCAGCTGTTCTGTTTAGAAGACAGGACACTGTGGGTACCTGGGACCAAACACATTTCCCTTTGCCTATAAGCATTCCTCCCAACGTGAGCACAGCACCTACATTCCTTCAGCCTGTACTCTGTACGCTTGATCTGCATGAAGACATGCAAGCTGTATACACATAGGGTGCTGTGTGCACACGGGGTGAATATGCGGAATGGGAAGTGGCATCAGAGCACTTGATCGTGAGGGGGTAGGGGAGCATACTTGCTCCCGCTTTTGTTCAACACGTGTCTTCCTTTAAAGACACATATGCCGTCGTGAATGAAGACAAGGGAGAGTGTCTTGCTTACTCTGGCAGCGGTTGCCTTTGCCTAATAGGGGAGAGCAGCTGCTGCCAGAATGAGCAAGGCTCTGCTGCCACTGCTGAGGCTGGTGAATGATGGGAACTGGAGTTTCTTTGACAAAAATGGGACACAAAGTGGCTGCAAAGAGAGAAGGAGCATCTGTTGCCTCCTACCTGTCCAGTATTCCTCAGGATTTCCACAGCTTGTTTATGGGTAGCTCCTTCCAAAGAAACACCATTGACAGACAGAACTCGGTCACCTAAAGCCCAACAATGGACAATTAGGAAGGAAAGGGGGAGCATCGATTACATGGAACAGCTATCCACAGATGATGGCTTGACCCACTGGAAATTTCTCCTGGGCTAGCTCCATTAAGCGGCCATTCAATTCAGTACAGCTAGTGGAGAAAGAAACTTTCAAGTGGAATGAGATAACACACACACAAATTACACTGGATCAGATCAAGGGTACCAACTATGACCAGCCAAATGCTCCTGGGCTTGATGGTTATAGCCATTTGCTGCCAGTATCTGATATTAAGATATACTGCTTCTGAACATAGAGTTTCCCCATAACTATAATGATTAAGAGGTGTCAATAGACCTGTCCTTTGTGAAGATGCCTAATAATATTTGTTGAATGTACCTTTTATTAACAGGTTTATATTTTCAGCAGCCTGAATAGCCCTGACTATCCTGATTTCATCAGGACTTGGGAGCTAAGCAAGGTCTGCCACAGTACTTGGATGGGAGACCACCAAGGAAGATTGGGGTTGCTATACATAAGAACATAAGAGAAGCCATGTTGGATCAGGCCAATGGCCCATCCAGTCCAACACTCCATATCACTCAGTGGCCAAAAATACCAGGTGCCATCAGGAGGTCCAGCAGTGGGGCTAGAACTCCAGAAGCCCCCCTGGTGCCCCCCCAAGCACCAAGAATACAGAGCATCACTTGCCCCAAATAGAGTGTTCCATCTATACCTTGTGTTTATCCAATCCCCTCTTCAAGCTGTCTATGCTTGCAGTTGCCACCACTTCTTGTGGCAGTGGATTCCATGTGTTAATTACTCTTTGGGTGAAGAAGGACTTCTTTTTCATCTGTTCTAAACCTACCGCTCATCAATTTCATGGAGTGCCCATGAGTTCTTGTATTGTGAGAAAGGGAGAAAAGTACTACTTTCTCTACCTTCTCTAACCCATGCATAATTTTGTAAACCTCAATCATGTCACCCCTCAATCATCACTTCTCCAAGCTAAAGAGCCCTAACCTATTTTTTCTTCATAGAGAAGAGGATGGCAGTGGCAAACCACCTCTTCTTATCTCTTGCCTTGAAAACCCACGTTCTTGGGGCTGTCGTGAGTTGGTTGTGACTTGATAGAACAGAAAGTTTTATTGTTGGTTTTTACGTTTTTTGTTTTTGTTTTTACGATTATTAAACAACAAATTCTCCTACCAAATCCATTTTACAAAATGATTTTATACCACAAATTATACTATAACAAAGAATATTTGTATTTTTACCATCTTCAATATTCATCCAAGAGACAAACCAGACATGATGCGAGAGACCCCATGTTCAGAATTTATGCTATTTTTCAAATGTCAAAGCAGGCACAAGGAATAAGTATATGCAAACTGATTTGGGGAAGCAGCATTGAGGGGAACAGGGGTGTCTGATCCTTTTGACCTACACCATTTTCTTGTTCTACAACACACACACCCTTACTACAGCTGAAGCTATTTGCCCTGGTAAAGGACGCATACAAGGTATGTGGGCAAATGGTAGCTTCAAAAGGGAGGAGGGATTTAGGAAAAAAGCGCTGCTGGAAAAGTTCTGCACCCCTGTCCCCCACTGCAGCTTCAGCGGGGTTGGACTAAATGGCCTTTATGGCCCCTTCCAACTCTATGATTCTAAGACTGGCCAACCCAGCTGGCTTTGAAGCTTGAAAAATTAAAAAAAAAACGGAGCAGTCCTGCTCAGGAATTTCCCATGTCACACACAGATTTGACCCTAAGTATACAAAAAATCGGTATTGTACAAAATTCCACAAAAACTGTCCTATGAAGAGAAGAAGGAGAAGATGATGACGTGCCTTTTTGAATCCTCCCATCGGCTTCTGCCGCTCCCTTAGGAATAACAGCCTTCACATACAGGCCTCCGTGTCTCACGTTGGTGTTGACACCCCCCTGTGGATCAAATGAATTCAGAACGCATATGTAAGAAAAGAAGCCAGATGTCTAAAGCCAGAATACTAACCAACCTTTATGGACAACCCCCCCCCCCCCTATTCAAAGCAGGCCATCAGCGAGTGAAAGCAGAAGCCACAAGCAAAACCACCCCATACGTTTCGAAAGCTGCATTCCAGAGCCCCCATGCAAACAGGAGCCAATGCAGAGGTAAGGCCCGGGACTTCTCAGAAGGGTGCAAACCTGCAATTCCAGTTGTGAGGACAGTGCTATGAAAAATGCTTCTGAGTGCTATCATGTGCCTTTAGCCATAGAGAAAAGAGATACAGGGGGAAGGAAATTACGATGCATCCTTTTCTCGTAGCTAGATGCCGGTTTCTTTTAACATTTGAAGTCCCAGAGACACTGCCATTTTATTTTCCTGGCAAGGGTCTGTTGCATGTGAACAGCTGTGCAACAGGCAAAAAATTAAACAGGCCAACCCCCCCACTCAGTGATTGGGGGGGTAGTTCAATTCTTGGATGTCTTCCTGCACTGCTGAAGAACTGCTGCCAGGAAAAACGTGGCCAGTTCTGGCATGAAGGGGCTAGTGGACAGGAGATCCACGCCAAGACTACAAGGGGGCCAGCGGAAGGCTGTGTGCCCATAAAGCAGTAGCCCAGTGCCACCTTAAAGACACTGCCCCCCATCTTCTTGAACTGTGGACACTGCGAGTAGTTTTGGTACTGCTGTTGTTGGTCAACAAAATATTGATTCCTTGGTTTGCTTTCTACTTCAAGTGTGATGTGGTAGCTAAAAAGGCAAATGCGATTTTGGGCTGTATCAACAAGAAGTAATGGTACCACTTTACTCTGCTCTGGTTAGACACAGAGTATTGTGTTCAGTTTTGGGTACCACAATTTAATAAAGATATAGACAAGCTAGAACGTGTCCAGACGAGAGCAACAAAGATAGTGAGGGGTCTGGAGACCAAGTCCTATGAGGAAAGGATATAACCATCTTCAAGTACTTGAAGGGTTGTCATATAGAGGATGGTAGGGAGTTATTTTCTGTTGCCCCAGAAGGACCAGAACCAACAGGCTGAAATTAAATCAGAAGAGTTTTCAGCTAAACATTAGGAAAAACCTCCTGACAGAGCAGTTCTTCAGTGGAACAGGCTTCCTTGGGAGGTGGTGGGCTCTCCTTCTTTGGAGGTTTTCAAACTGAGGCTAAATGGCCATCTGACAGCAATGCGGATTCGGTGAACTTAGGCAGATCATGAGAGGGAAGGCAGGAAGGGTTGCCTCAGTGCTTAGTTCTTGTGGCCCTTTCTTACACGCCCAGGGAAATGACGGTCGCCACTTTGGGGTCAGGAAGTTTTTTTCCCTCCAGGACAGTTTGGCCAGGGATCCTGGAGGTTTTTTGTCATCTGGGCGTGGAACAGCGGTCAATACTGGTGTGGAGGGGGAGTTATTTGTGAATTTCCTGCCTTGTGCAGGGGGTTGGACTAGATTACCCTGGAGGTACCATCCAACTCTATGATTAGCATGTGTCACCAAGAAATATTCAATGCATTTTCTAAAATCTCACGTTCATTTTAAGAAGAATGAAACTCTAAAGAAAGTAGTGTTTTTGGTTAACCATCTTTTCTAGCTATCAACACACCTTGTCAGATTTCAGAAGCTAAGCAGGGTTGGCCCTGGTTAATGTTTGGATGGGAGACCAGCAAGGACATCCAGGATGGCTATGCAGAGGCGGGCAATGGCAAACCACACCTCTGCTTGTCTCTTGCCTTGACAACCCCATGAGGGGTCACCTTAATCGGCCGCAACCTGATGGCACTCTACATCACTGGCATTTGCACTGCCCAATGAAATGGCTCTCCAACAACGGTGAAATGGAGCACATTCTTTGGACTGCGAACCAAAGATTGCCTTTTGAGCAGTTTCTGACACCCCCACAAAGAGCAATAAACGCAAAGGGCACCACGTCAGATATCCACATTTGGAATTTGTCGTTAAAGCAACGTTGCCAAGTAGCTACAGCCCAGAAATACAAGTGATTTTATAAAGCCAGACTGTATTTTCCTATAATTTAAAACACATGCAAAAAAGAAAAAAGAGGACTTGCGGTTGCTTGGTTGCAACCTAGAAATGCCACATTTCACTTTAAACGCTAAGGATCTAGGAGCCGAAACAGACGTGGCTGTCCTCATCCATTTCCTCCTCCAGCTCTTTCGCTTGCACTACCGCCTAGCTGGCTGTGGAGTGAAATTAAAATATTGCTTGCAATAGCAGGCAGGGCAGGACGGTAACTGAGGGAACTGGGGGGGGGGGGGGGAAGGGAGGG